TTTTTTTTTTTTTAACCCCCCCCCCCCCCCCCTTTCCCGTTAACAGCTGTGATTACAAGAAATATTTACATATGAATGAAACAACACATGAAGATAAAATTCAAAATGACACTATTTATTTTCAGGAGTAGATAATCCATATTTGGTTTTCATCTGGTCTAACTCTTGTTTCTTTTTTTCTGTGTCTGTCTTCTTGAAGGCCTGAAATAACAAGATAATCATTTTAAGCTGAGATGACGTCTAATGACTCACTCATTAAATAAGCAACACCAAACATAACCCGATACTCAACCACAGCTCCCTCCAAAGTTGGATAAAAAAAATATAGTAAGGCTAACTGAAAATCACTTCAGATAATAACTAAAAAAAATTATCATCTTTCTTTAAATTTAAATAGTTCAAAAGATGAACTACCTGCACTTCAGATATAAGTGTAACTACTTGTCATAAAAATGTTCGTAATTTAATACACATATTTTATTTACAGCCATTTACAGCCATGTACTTATGGCAAATCAGTTTTTTAAAATGTCATTTATTAATGACCTATCCTGTTTTTTGAAATATTGAAAAACAAAGCATTTAGCTATATTATTTTCTTCAAAGTCGTCTAACAATAAAATATTGAAAGTAAACGAAAGACTTACTCTCGTTGATTGGTAGTACAGCACAACTAGGTAACGATTACAGACATTGAAACCAGAAAGATGATCACAAGCATTTTTTGCATCAAATATGTCTTCATATACAACGAATGCTGTGCCTTTGGTCTCTGGTGTGTTGCCTCTGGTTAATTTGAGAGAAATAAAATGACATTAAAATTAAGTACCCGGTACCGGTTACATCATTTATTTTTATTAAAAAAAAATATAATAACATGCATGACACCAACTTCTGAATAAAATAGCAACAAAAGAAAAATCCAGAACAAATAGATTCTTTGCTGCTTTCTTAAGTTATGTTGTTACAATTTCTTTAAAAGTAAAATTTTGCCATTTGTAACTAATAATTCAAATGTTGACCAGAATGTCAGCCATCTATGTATAGCATACTGATGTCATTTTAATTATTAACAGACGAATTACAGTTTACAGCCATTTAACATTCAGTGACAATTCATTGAGATAATTTAAGAGTCTTTATTCACGGATAAGGCGTGACAAATATTACATTTACGATACACCTTTCATTTTCCATGGTTATAACAATACCGTTACTAAGTAGTATTTAATAAATCTGTAATAAATATTTGTTGCACCATACTACAACCATATGAATGTTTTCTGAATATCTGATTTTGGTTTGTTTTCAATTACAGGTTATTCCATTTTTTTAGATTCCAATATCTACTTTAAATAAGCATCATATGGTTAATGGATTAATTACTTGATTTACTATACCGGTACTGATAAAGTGTGAGGCCAACTATCTCACAATAAATGAACTTTTTAATTATAATTTGATTTAACATTTAAATAGTTTTGCTAAAAAAAAGTGCACAAACAAAAGTGCTTTAAATTTTACTAATTTTGCATACATATTGCCTAAAATTTATTTCAAAACTGATTTTAAATAGCCTAGAACTGGTTTATTGGTTATGTTATACCTTAGAATTAGACCGGTTATTAAAAAAATAAAAATAAATCTGATGTTAAAATGGTAGAAGCTCAAAGGCAACCAAACTAACCTACGTATCTTTTTTTAAATAATAAAACAAGTAAGGCATGAATAACTTACACTCGAATCTGTCTAATGGCTCCATATTTTCCAAATATATCATACATTTCCTCTGCCGTGATTTTATAAGGAAGATTTTTCACATAGAGAATTCTGTTCACTTCTGGCGGGAGCCTCACCTGACAAATTGAGACAAACAATTATAAAAAGAAGTTTCTTGCAAATTATTTAAGATTGGGAATCATTTATGAAGACCCTAAATTGATTTGTATGTTTGTTTGACAATCAAGCCTGTTATGTGTTCACCTGTCGCCTAACAGGCTTGAAATGGACTATTGCACATTGTTTGTAATTTCTGTGTCAATGTGGATTTTTATGTGGAAATTCTGGTATCATCATTTTCGGAATGTTCTGGACTGTGCAGTGATATAATCCGTTTAAAAATCGGATAATGGATTCCTGAGATATCTGCTGGTGTTTGTTTTTTCTTATGTAAAAAGACAAGTGAACACAGTGTTGACAGTACGGCATGTGTGCCCCTTTCTAGTGAGCTTCCACTCAGGATAGAAATATCATAGCCAGGCCTATGAGTAAATACTATAGAGACGCAGTTGCACATCCAGACTATTACAGGCCTCAAATTCTGCGCTATACCAAGGCTCAACTATTGCTCTTCAACACGGCTTATGTCGACCCCCAGTTTTTACAAGTGATCGAAAAACTGGTTCAGCTTGGCCTAAACTGCGAGACAGGAGAACTATCAAGTAAACCAATAGGCACACGGCGAAAGAAGGCGCGTCTCTATCGAGCTGGTCGTCGTAAACAGCGTCCACTGAAATACCGCCACGGCGACTGCAGTGTCAATCCTATTGCGGGTGATAATCTTTATGAGGAGCCTTTTGATGAAGCTTTCAGTAACGAGGAGGACGACGGAAATCAGCCACCTACTGTGTCATCGATCTCGCCCGTTCCCTATGTGTCAAGGCTAAGGTCACAGACAGTGGCCCATGATTTCGCACCACCTCGTCGGGGTGTGACGAGATCAAATCTAGTAGTTGCTGACTGTCAGCCGTTTGTGAGGCCGCAATCACGGCACTTCGGGGTGCTGTATTTTAACGCCCAGTCATGCAGGAACAAGACATTTGAGGTGTGTGATCTTATTTTAGAGAGCAAGGCCAATCTTGTGTTCATAACGGAGACGTGGTTTAAGCAGGTCGGAGATGAGGTCAAGTTGCAAGAAATCACACCTCCGGACTATCTCCTTCATTCCTGCCCAAGACTGTCTCGTGGTGGCGGAGGTATTGCTGTTCTTTACAGGAGCTCCCTCAAGAATAGTGTGGCGTTCTCAAAATCAGACCAGTTTGTTTCATTTGAGATTTGCAAGATGCAACTT